CTTGGTGCGTCTTATACTATGAAAAATACGGTAGTTTGTTCTCCAAAATCCTCACTGCCTAAATATATAATAATAACTTGTTCAAGCTATAGCCTCCTTTTCCTGATTTCTTTCTTCCATTAATCTCAATTACAATACAAGCGTCTTGTTTTACATTTTTGTTCTTGGCAGTCTGCAACTGAAGTTCATTGTTTTTGTGGGTTTCCATTTATGATATTGAGCTCTTTCATATTTGATTCTTAAATTGTGTTCAGTATGTCATTCATTGATATTTTTATAATTTTCATAGTCCTTCAAATGTAGGAAAGGAACAGCTAAAATATGTCATGTTCAATGATTTGAATCACAAATAGGATTCTGTAAGTATACATTACATTCATATTCCAAGGCAAATCAAATGATATAAACTGTTTCTTTATAACAGGTAATACAACTAACTCAACTTCAACAGAAAAACCTATTTTGACTACTACAACCATTGCCACTACTTCTGTTATTACTGCTAAAACAGGTAAAATTTAATTTAACAGGCACTCATAATGAACTGTTGTCTTGAGGAAAGCTACTTGTAAGACAGTTCTTGTCTTGGGTGAATAAGAAAAAGAAAAAGGCAAATTGAGTAATAAGGTCCCTTCCAGAGAGGTAAGGGACCATGTACAAAACATCTGAATCATAAAGCAGCAGTGTCTTTTGTCAGCTATTCATAAACTTTTCTTTATGGAGCAGTAGTTGTGCTTAGCTGTAATGATTCCAAGAGAGATACTATATATCCACACTGCAAAGTGGGAAGGGAATTAGCAATTAATTTCCAGATCATATAACACTTTAACATCATTATTTGAGAGTTTGCAAGATCATTAAATCTTATAAGATTTGTGTTTAATTTTTTTTTAATCATGTATCTCTATAGCATCCTCACACAGGATTTAAATAATCTGAACAGGATTAAACAGCAATTGACCTTGCTCGCCTGTAGCATCTACCATATTTTTCGGAGTATAAGATGCACCTTTTTCCCTCAAAAAAAAAGGCTGAAAATCTGGGTGCGTCTTATACATCAAATACAGCATGTTTTGTCTCCTGAAACCCTGCCCCTTCACCAAAATGGCCGGGCATAGCTTGTAGGAGGCTTTCAGAGAGCTGCTGGGGAAGGCAGAAATGAGCAAAAAATGGGCTGGTTTTTGTTCAATTTCCCCCTCCCCCCAGCCCCCAGGAGCACTCTATAAGCCTCCATAAAGCTATGCATGCAATTTTCTTGACAAAAAACGGACCAATTTTTGTGAAAAATGGGCCATTTTTTGCTCACTTTGGCCCTAGGTCAACCCCCAGGAGCACTCTGCAAATCCCCCAAAGGCTATTCATGCCTTTTGGGAGGGGGAACAGGCCTGTTTTTGTGAAAAATGGGCCATTTTGGGGAGGTTTGCAGAGTGCAAAAACTTTTTTTTCCTTTCGGAAAGCTCTTTAGTTAGAGTGATTGATGAGAATTAGATTGATCAAGTGCTGTGCCAGCAGAAACAAGCCTTAGGTGCTGCAGATTGTCAGGGATTTCCTTCTCCAGCACATGGATAAATACACCTGGAAACATCTACCTACCTACCTACCTACCTTCTCTCTCTCCCTACCTACCTACTGTATTTCTCTCTCTCTCTTTCTCTATCCCTCTACCTACCAACCTACCTACTCTCTCTCCCTACCTACCGTATTTTTCTCTCTATCCCTCTATCTACCTACCTTTTTTTTTATTTGCCTCTTCAAAACCTTGGTGCATCTTATACTCTGAAAAATACGGTAATCTAGAAAAGGACTAATTTTTATCTTTCCATTGAAGGATGTATTCAAATTCTGTTTCATAGAGAGAGAACTGAAGAACTGATTTTTAGATGATAAAAAATACATAGAAAATATAATTCAGAAGAAAATCACTAATAATTATAATCCTCTTATTTGACAGGCACATCAGCTCTAATACCAACTACCAAGCCATCACCTCATAAAGCGAGTTTTGATGCAGCCAGTTTCATTGGTGGCATTGTACTTGTGCTGGGTCTGCAAGCAGTTATCTTCTTTCTGTATAAATTTTGCAAGTCCAAAGAACAAAACTATAACACACTCTAGGACACGTTTCTTTTTAAGTGGACTTAGATTAGCTCAATATTTATGGTTAGCTACACCAAAAGATGCTTATTCTTTATGGAATATAGCAGTTCAAGATATTATTTTTCAAGACTTAAAAAAATAGGTCTGCAATGTGCTTGGAATAACGTGTCAATCATGTCTTGCTGAACAGAAATATTTGCAATATTCTGCATGAACCCTTATTTTAAATTTTTAGCAGCTGCTACTATAGAATCTATTATTTTATTTGATATGCCAAATGTAGCTTTTGATAGTTACTGTATTTAGTGGCAGCAATGTTCTTGGTAAGTAAATTTACAATTATAGTGATTTAATTAGGTTTAGATACAATATCCCTATGCATCATTATTAAAAACAGATTACTGTTAATTTGACATAAAATTATCTATGAAAAGTATGACTTTTTATCTGTTCAGCTTGGAAATTGGAAGAGATTTGTAGGATGTTTTAAGGATATTTTTTTCTTAACAGATATGAATGCCCATATTTTTCCATATTATATGATATTACGATGATTGTTTTCTATTGGAAGTGTAAGCATCTATAGGAAGAATGATGATCAAAAGATACAAGTTCCCCTGTGCGTAAGGAAGAAGGACCAGTGCCTTAATTAGCAAATTGAAGTGTTGTGCCATCTTATATTTTGAGGTTCAGTGAAAAATGTCATTTTATTTGCACCAAGTTTTCTCCATTAGACATATGAACCTCAGCACTATATGCTAACATCGTTAACTGTTTTCATATGTGTTAATACAGTGTATTGGATCTATATTTTGAGGAATATTTTCCTTTGAGGAAAATAGATTGGGTAAGCTACATGTGATGAATTTATCCAACTGATTTTTGTGGCAAAATGTGGCAAAGTATGGATTCAATCTGCTGTATCCAGGCTTTGTTTACTGTTTCTAAAGCCATTTGTCTGTAGCCTTCAAATTACCTGCCTTAGAAAATGCTGTGCTTTTCATATGAGGATAGTAATTTAGCAAACACAGTTTGTGCGCACATTATGGATATTTTAAAGGTACTGTAGTCCTGCATGGATCTTGGAATATTTTATTCCCACATAGCAATATCCCACCTGTAGTTTCATAATACAGCAAATTGTGTGATAGAAACAAACTTGAACACTTGAACTAAGTTATTTTATTTTGATTATTCACTTGATAGCATCTTAATGTTTGTTTTGCAAGTCATGTGATAAATATAGTTGAAATAATCAAAACTGAATTTATAGGGTTAAGTGCTTCTGCTGGATGAGCTCCAGTCAAAGAGGAACTGCAGTGGTTGATATTATGCTGATGACAAAATTGACTCTGTAGATTTATTGTTAAAAATGTTGACATCATTTTAATTTCCTTAATCCTTCCAGGTTGAGTAAAGTTCACTTCAATATTAGTCAGAAAGTCAATTCATGAAATAATTTAGTAGAGAGTACTGTAATTTTAAAGAATCTTCCGACAACTGCACTCCTAAAAGACAATAGCTCAGGTGAATAAGACAGTTGAACTGACTACTCCATTCAGATATTTCCAAAATAGGTGGTGTGTATTTAATGGCCTTGTGGTAGTCATTTTACTCACCTCCCCATGATCTTTATAAATGCAAGAAACTGACAATTTAAACACAACGCTAATTAAATTCTAAAGAATGACGGTTTAAAAATGAATTCTTAATATTACATAAACATTTTCTTCAAAGTAAGATTAAAAAGCTATTTACTTTTTGCTTCCATGCTTATTCTTGAATGTTAATATTTATCTTGTAAATTTAAAGGGGAAAATGTTTCAAAACTGACAGTGCTGTATGCACTTCCAAAATCAAAATGTGAGATGATTTTGTTACTGAGCCAAGAATACCTTTCAAAGACATTAAAACATGTATTCCTAAATACAGTGAACCCTCTTTCAAGTGCCTTAAATTTTCTTAATGTTGTCCTCATGTCAGGGAAAGAAATTTTAATCAATATCTCTGCCCCTTAGTGTCAGCAATTGCTATTTTCCAATGATTTTAGAAAATTCAGGTGTTAATATTTACCTTTCAGGAAATCTATATTTTCTATTTAGGTGGCATAAAGCTGTATGTTTAGTTACTAGGGCATTTCTAACAATTACATGCAGTGGCAGATGATTTGATTTTCTAAACCAGCTTCATTTGTAATCTACCAAACTACAGTGGACACATTAAGGGGCTTCCCGGTTATTCACATATGAAATTCTTTACCTTCTAGATTTAGATAGATAAAACTTTGTTTTCGGTTTAATGCTATTACTTATGAATTCGTATGAATAGATTTTTATCACTTTGCTGTTTGAAATTTAGCATATTGTTTGTTTTTTAAGCAATTGCCTGTATAAAATAACTGATCACGTGGACCTTAATTCTTTAGATAGTAAATTGTGACTTAACTGGATTGTTCTTAGAACTCTCATATGCAAATGTACTGCATAGGGAATGGAATGTTACAGATATTATGTACTGCATATGTGATGTTGTCATTGGAAGAAATGCAAATTATTTGCAACCGTAATACCAAAATAATAAATCATTTATTAAAATGCTTTTTTGTCTAAGTAAGTTACTTAGAGCTAGACTACATAAACAACCTAATAAATGTTACATTGACAGCATGTAACATTTGCTACATATTTTTATAAGGCATTGTTTAGGGGACCCAAGAGATCATTTGTTTAAGAAATATCAAACTACAGCTTTACGCAATGCATGAGCATTATATACAAGTAGTCTTCAACTTACAACAATTCATTTAGTGACTGTTTGAAGTTACAACAGCACTTATGACAATTTTTCACACTTACGACCATTGCAGAATCCCCATGGTCACGTTATTTACATTCAGATGCTTATCAATTGACTCACATTTATGACTGTTGCAGTGTCCCGGAGTCATATCGCTTTTGTAATCTTCTGACAAGAAATGTCAATGAGGAAACTGGTAGATTCGCTTAATAACCGTGCTACTAATTTAAGAACTAAAGTGATTCATTTAACAATTGTGGTGAGAAAAGTTGTAAAATGGGGCAAAACTCACTTAAATTTCTCTTTTAATAAATTTTGATCTCAATTGTGGTCATACCTGTACAATGACAATATGTAACTTCAAAAGAACAATGAAATCTCAATATGCCATGATGAAACCAAAATCTTTTATTCCCACATTATTACTCAAAAGTGTTGAAGAAAATATGGTAGGAAAAGTTTTATTAATAATTACTGACAGCAACTATGTGTAGTGTAATGTTTTCAGTCGTGGTCAATGACAAATCTAGTAGCAGTTTATTTTTTAGATGGGTTTTGCTCTTGTTGCACAGGAAAAGTAGAATGTGAGGTTTGGGTAAGATCTGGCAATAGAACATCTACTATTCTATTTCTCCATCCTGAAGGTACCTGGAAAGACAAAGCTTGTTATGTTTATGTTTTGCACTCTGAATAGCTAACATTTCAAAGATTTGGGAACAGCTATTCTTTTGTAGCAGCGTAATCTGGGGAAGCAGAGCATAGGAAAAGCTACTGCATATCTCAGGTTGTTACCATTGTTATTCTTTCATAGTGAAACTCTTAAAATATAGCCTTCAAATTAATAAACTTGTTGCACTCTTGACTGGATAACTTTACTTCTCGTCTGATGTTTTCATTAACTTTTCACTACTCACTGTTTTTGGCCTAGGGATTTTCTCTAACTTGGTTTTGGCTGTCAAAAGATTCTGAGTGGAATCTTTGGTTAATATGAATGTTGGCAATTCTGCATTCTGACTGCATGAAGAAGAGCCTGAAATATAAATGCAATATATATAATGTTATATAGTTGCTCATCTAAAAACAAAACCTCTCCTCGCACCCCTCCACCCCCGTAAAAAAGTCAATGATAGCTTTTTACCTTCTATTAGGCAAATCTATCCCTATAAAATATATTGTAACAAAAACAAAGAATGCTTCCTCACACTGGGAATAGGGATAGCATATCAAAAAGGTGATTTTTTTCCCCCAGACAAATCTATAACTTATTTTTTGTTTGCATAGGCATTCCTAATAGCAACTTGCCTTACAATTGTAGATGGCAGCTGAGTGGGATTGCACAGCCATCATTCTAATAGACACTAGAAGCAGATGTGTTTATTTTCAAGATTGGTACTAATCACTTTTTCTCCCCTTAGAAAGTCACTGTAGTGTGATAGCACCTATTATGGTTGGCTTGAAAGTAGTGTGCTTCAGAACACATGAGAATGAGAATCTACCACCTGTTTTGGGTAATCTCTGCAAGTTCTGCTCTATTTAGGTTAACTGGTAATGTTACAGCCTCTCTCCAGTTGAACAGGTACTGCATTTGGTCTCTAAATAATTTCCAAGCATGTCTTCTAGATCATATCAAAGCGATTACATATCTCTTCTTGAAAATATACCATTTACAAACATCCTGTGGTTTCCAGCATTTTTGGAGGTGTTTTAAACTCATTAATCTCTGTCAAGAGCTCAGGCTACTTCCAAAATACTCTGTCAGTTTCACATTTGATGCAAGACATTTTGCGGAATTTTGTGCTTTAAACATTCCACATCAAAGCATTTGGTATACCTCTACCTCTAACAATGTAAACAAGATGCAATGATGTCATTGCACAAGACCAGCAGTAGATTCTAGGCTTTGATTAATGTGTACAGTTAATCTTAGAGCTTGGAACAATTTCTGGAATATTTTTGTGCACAGGTACACAATGCTGCATTGTATTCTTTGTTAATACATCCCATTCACAGCTCTACACAGAAGAGATGCTTATTCATTAGAATGTTTCCAGTGCTGGTGTGGATGACAATTGAAGTGTGCGAATGAACTTTATAGCAATCTGAACAGAATGTGTCTGAAATCTTGGCAATAGGGTGGCAACTGCTTCTATTTTTTTTCTCAATTTCCAGGCCCTGGACAGTCTTGATAGTATTCCATCCAAATATAACAATTTAGCTTTTTTTGACATTAGTCCAAGTTAGCTAGGTTATCCTTTAAATTACTTTTCTTACTAGGATGTAGGTGTAGCACTCCGAGCAATCAAGTAGGTTTGACTAGAAAGTTGAAAAACATTCTGGACGATGACAGGCTTTAATATTTTTACCTCTCTGTCTACATGTACAGTATAACAAAGTGATATGTCCATGTAATCACCAGAGGTGAAGCTTGGGACATTGTAAACATTATGGTGGCAATGAGATAGTAATAAATTTCCACTGTTTATAAAAACTTATCATCTGTGAACTTTATTTGCTTTTATATAATAGATTAATAACTACTTGGTAAAGAGAGCCTATGTGTTTATATATTTTTCCTTAAAGCTTTCCAAGATAGTACGCTAAAATTAAAATGAGAAATGATGTTGATAGCTTAGTTGTTCTTACCTGGAAAATAGTAAGGTTTGCTTTTGGTAACGTATGAAAGATTAGCAGAGCTTCTTGTAACTGAAAGCAAGAACATAAATAATCTAAAATGAATTTAAGATAAACTATGAAAAATAAAAAAATATCAAAATGCTCCCATTTTTAACAGATCTGGATGCATCACATTTTGTTAGATTTGTATTCTGCTTTTAGGAGTTCAGGGTGGCAAGTTTAGGTTATGATTAATCAGATTTCAAATTTAGTTAACATTTATTAAAATGGATAAGATTGGATCTTCTGACATTTTTGTTGCAGTATGTGATACTATATCTAAATAAGTGGATATAACTAAATTCTCACATCATCCTCAACTGCTCATACTGTCTTAGCTTTCCCACAACTCAATAAAGGTATTTTTGAATAGGGATATGATATAATGCAGCTGCTGTTTGATCAGTATGATATTGTCAAGCACTGGAGTCTTAACTTTAAGCATTTGTGCATGTAAATAGAACCAAGAGTTCATCCAGGGTTCATCAAATAAATCCCCGGTAATGGTTTTTTAAAACATTTCTTCCCAGTTGTACAAATAGATAATAGTCATGTCATTTGAGCAATTAAGAACTGGTACAAAGAAGGTGTTCACAGAGATATTCCTATATGGCATGGATTTAGGTAATGCTTCATTACTGATGGGGATGTAATAAACTTATATGATGCAGGTTTAAATGCATGCAAGTGTTTCATGGATCAAATTACCTGGATCTATATTGTGGAGCATTTATTTATAATTATGGAAAAGATTAAATGGCTCATGTCAGAAGATAATTCTGGGTGACTCACAACAAAACTACAAGAGCATTAAAACCATAAAACTCCCGTGCCTGAAACATTCTCCTAGGATGCCCCTGTAACGATCTGCAAATTCCCATCACTACCCCAGCTGAGCACACAATAAGGTTAGGGTTGATGGCCTTTTGGAAGGCTAAAAGGGTGGGTGGCTCCCAGATCGTCAGGGAACATATTCCACAAAATAGGGAAGCCACAGAAAAGACATTAGTTAGCAATATTTCAAAGAAAGGACCTGGAGCACACCTACCCCTTCCATCTGGTGGAACAGACAGATGCACTCAGTGAGAGGCAGTCCCATTGATAAAAAGAATATATGCAGTTCAGAGTTTGAACTGTGGCGTCCTTGGTGCTTGGAGCATTATTTTTTTTGGCAGATGTTTTTTCCCTCCAATGGGTAATGCAGGAATAATGTTACTTAGCTGGGTAATGAGATATTGGCAAGAAAACAGCTAAGCTCAGAGAGCACCACATACTCCCATGGCATGAAAGACTTTAGAAGTGATAAACAGCACTTTGTACTGTACCCAGAAGGAAAATGGGAACCAATGTAACTCATGCACAGGGCTATAACATGGGCAAACTTGGGAGTGCCCAACACTGCATGTACTGCAACCTGAAACTGTTGTAGCTTTTGAGTGGTGCTCAAAGGCAGTCCCATGTACAGTATACTGTGGTACTCCAAAAGGGAGTTGACCATAAGCACAGCCTCCTAGTCCAGAAAAGTTCACAATTGTTGGAACAACAACAATTAATCTAGGTATTGCTACTGCCACCTACTCCATAAAGTAGGAGTAGAGAATCCATAAAAACCCCAAATTACAAGCTCAGTTTGGGGAGTGCAACCCTGTCTGGAATTAAATGACACATTACTAAATCCTGGGAGCTGATTACATCAAGCCAAGGTACATAGGCAATGCTGTTGCAGTGCTGTCTGTTTGGAGATTGTGAGGAACTGGATGGGCTGGCAATGGAAAGCAATGGCTCCTGCTCCTAACCCCCAAAGGCAATCCAGAAAGATACCATTGTATTAAAAGCTGCTGACAGTTCTAAGACAGTGAGGATGGTTGCACCACTCCTCTCCCAAGCCCATCAAAAGTCAAAAGCAACCACAACCAATATCTTTTCCAGCCTAAACCCAAACTGAAAAGGTCCATATAAATCACTTCCCCCAGGGCCCCGGGAAGCTGAGTGGCAACCACCTTCACTAAAAACATCTGGATAAACATTGTCTAACATGATTGGTCCAAGGATGGGGCGAATCTGCTTCCTTCAAGGCAGATTGTGCCAGCCCCTCCCACATGTATTAACTATTTGGGGCCAAACATGCCACTTCTGAGGACACTTTAATCAGTCAAAAGGGGCATGGGTCCAGACCATACTTGGCTGAGCTCATCGAAGCCCTGTTCACTTCCTTAGGATCAACCAGTTTAAGTCCCAGATTACAGGACTCAGATGTGTCTTGCTTATTTCCAAAGGATCTGCCCAGAGTCCAACCCTGAGTGAAGTTTAGCAACTCACAGCAGTCTTGAAAGGGCTTCCCCAACTCTCCCTACCCCAAAGGGACCTGATTACCTGAAATAGGCCAATAGGCAGTTAACTGTCCATGCAATAAGAGCAGAGAGGTATGCTTTGGTCCCCCTGTTACAATATAAGTCCTGATATACTTTCAGCCCTGAGGCACAAGTAACAAATTTGTGAAATGGTACAAAAAAAACCCAAATGCAACAGAAGGGAAATTGGGATGCCAAGTTAATAGAAAAGAACAAGATCCTGCTATTTTGGCACATATATCAAATATGAACTGACTGGGGGCTACAAGAAGTCTGCTTTTTGGCAGCAGTGTGTTAAAATACTGACTTTGGATAATGGATAACGTTCGTACTGAAGCTATTCAATAAATATTTTCAAGGTCCATTTTAGATTAATTTCAACATAGGACTTATAGCATTAGTTAGCAAAACTAAGAGTGAGAGAATCTCTCACCTTTTCATTCAAAATTGAGAGTTCTGAGAATAATATGGTAATTTATTTGAATTGTATCCTATGCCATTGTTACTATTTTTCTCCACGGCTTTTGGCTCACTGAAATTAATTGATGAGTACATCTGAGCATGTTGGCAAATGAGACGTACTGACATAATTCTTAGAGAAAGGCCTGGTTTTATTTCTTTAATTGCTTTCACCTTCCCTGCCTTTCCAAGGCCACAGACTCTTACTGCTGATTTTGTTTTTGTTTGGAATAATAACCGTGCAATGGAACTAATGTATAATTGCAACCAATTATCTTTCAAACTACATTTATACCTGCAGGGGAACATTTCTGGGAAATTGCAGCTTCTGAGTCATAACGTTGACACTGCAGCTCATGTATCCTCTGGAAAGCATTCAGCTTTAAATTGCGTTCCTGGGTCAGCTGGCTTCTTATCTAAAATAGGTGTATATATACATGTTTATAAATAATCCCAAATTCATATTATGATCCATACTTAAAACACTTGAGTGCACACAAGAAAAGAAAGGAAATGCTTTTAACCTTAGTTAAATTAATATTGTCAGCTAAACCAGAAGGGATTAAATTTCGATGGAAGCAGCCATAGGACTGTTTGAGAACAAAGCAATTCCATGTGATCAAATGAAGCTTATGTTGGGATTAATTGTACTTTCCTGCTTCCAAGATAGAAGTAAATATGAGAGAGCTTTGTGAAAACAAGACTTTTCTGGATCCTCTGTTTCTTTTTTTTTCACCCTCCCCAGTGGCTGTACAACCACAGGGGCAGAAAGGGATTGATAAAGGGATTGATAGTAAATTAGGCTCCCTAGGACTACCCATGATGGGGCGAAGGCTAATCACCCTCCTGGAATTTTGTTTTTTTTAAAAATTCTAGCAGGAGAAAGCAACAGTAATACAAAGTGACAATCTTCCAGACTTCCCTGCACTAGTTTGGAAAAACTCAGAAAATGAATAAAAATTAACCACAACTGTGCTCAACTACTACAAACAGACAAATTAATTGCCCTGGGGCAAGGATGGCATACATATTCCTTATCAACTACATACTAGCATCAGAACAAGCCTAGCAGTTTAGAACAGATGACTATAGAAAATCAGAAAAGCCGTAGGGCAGCAATAAAATATATTAGCTACAAAATAATGGTGTCCTTATTCTGCCAGACAAAAATGATCTGAAGGTAAGTGGAAGCCAAAGGTGGAAGCTCTTCTGCATGGGTCTACTCTAGTGGTTAAGGCATCAGGCCAGAAACCAGTAAACAGGTTCTTCTCCTGCCTGAGGCATGAAAAACCAGCTGGATGACTGGATCAGTCACTCACTCTCTCTGCCCAACTCACCTCACAAGGTTGTTGCAGGGAAAATAGGAGAAAAGAGGAATATTAAGTATGTTTGCTGCCTTGATTTTTTTTTTTGTAAAAACGATAAAAGGTGCAACAAAAAATGTAAAAAAAAATCTGGATCATCTGTCTATCATTACTGCATTTTAAAATTCAAATATACATTCTGGTGCATGACATTTTTTGTACTCATGTTAGCAAGAAGTTTTCAAAGCATGTACCAAAATGCATCCTTTGGTAACTCACTAAAATATTTATAACCTTACTTGTTGAATTTCTTTCTTCATCTTGGCTTCCTGAAGATGTCTTGTTTTAGAGGATTTTTCTGATTCTTCTGCCAGGTTCAACAACTTCACTTCTCTCTCTCCAAGGTTTTCTAACAGTTTATCCAAGTTTGCTGTCTTAATCAAATCTAATTGCTGTCTTTTGCCAAATTCTCGATTAATCTTACGTTCTGCTTCTTGAAGTAAATATTCCTATATGAAAATATTAACAAGATTTGTATAATACTATGTTTAACCTCAGGAGAAAAGAAACTGAATAAATACATTTATTAATATAGACTATACTATATACAGAGACAATATTTTTAAATGTATTTATTCAGTTTCTTTTCTCCTGAGGTTAAACATAGTATTATACAAATCTTGTTAATATTTTCGTATAGGAATATTTACTTCAAGAAGCAGAACGTAAGATTAATCGAGAATTTGGCAAAAGACAGCAATT